CTGCTGCTCCCAGACACGCTGCTACACACTAACATCTGTCAAAGAAGGAAAAACAATTAGTTTCTCAGAGAGTCATGTTTGGTAAGGTGACTGCCTTTAACTTCATGTCTAAATTTTAGGCACTCGACTAAATTTACAAGAAATAAAAAATATACTTGCTCCTCTGCATAACATGACCACTTCTATTTTTGACATGGTATACTAAAAACAACAAGACACAGGATACTTGGGTGCTGGCAAGCTGGTTGGTCAGATCGGCGAGGCACCTGGGACTGTTGCCTGTAGCCGCCACACCACACAATTCTCGGCACAGCCGTTGTAGGGGTTTATGCTGGTCCCTCACTATTACACCATGGCTCATTACTCCCCAAATCACCACTAACCCCAAGTTGCTTGTAGACTCTCCGCGACAATTTCCATCATTGGGTAGGTTTTCAAACACATTTATAACTGTCACTTTGTTACACAAAGCCCTTTTACTTCTCAAGGATCTTTCTATACTATATCACTATGGTGGTTATATAGCAGTTCACTATTCCATGGTATCAACCATTCACTATTCCATGAGTATTTTTTCTTGTGTAATACAGTTACTCCCATCGGCTGAACAGCTCAGAATTACTCTAAGGTACAATGAATTTAATTGGCGCAGACCATACAAACAAATATTACTGACCACAATTAAAAATCTGAAGCCAAGAGCTCATTTTGTTCCACAAGTTTAGATTGCTCCTAGTATTTGGTTCTTTAGCTTTTTCAGTGTAATGTTTGTCATTTTAGTTTTCTTGTCATAACTTCTTAATTTACAGGGTTTGAAAGAAACTTTTCCAAATATAAATATGTAATTTATTTCATCTGCCAGGATTTCATTTTTACTCCACTGTGTTCTTGTTCTTCATATTCAATTCTCTGGAGCAACTGCAGATAAATTTCTCACAGCACTACCATTCTTGACAATTCTTGATGCTTTACAGGAAGAGGTGTGTTTCTTGATGGTGTTATGTTGAATGTTTCTTGCATTACTGACAAATGAATAATATGACCTCCACTCTTTTATGTGGATAGAGTCAACATAATCAGCACATAGTTCATACACTTACTATACATAGAAGCAATCACAAAACATTGTTCAACCACTTATATTGCCATTATTCTGCGCCAAACTCAATCTAATGTAAACCTCCGCATCAAATATTTTCCATCACTAAACATTTCCCATCCTACATGGGTCAACCGATTCACTAAGAAAACCCCTTCCCAGTAGATCCCCACCATTGCCAGGCCCACACTTCGTCCTCACACCCAGCAGCACATAATGTGGGCAACACCAGAGCTGCCATCAGTGATGCCACAAAGCACCACGCCACCAGTTGCAGTAGCTAACCGTCGGCGCCACCACAACAGTACCCAGATGATGGATGATGATGATGAAGGCCTCCACTCCTGGCCACCAATTACCTCACTTGTTGACCTGGTTGACATAGGCGTCAAGCTCGGCATCCAATTCTTCAGCGGTGGGCACAACCTGGTTCCTGCCCCCCCGCCCACCCATGCCTCCTCTGCCTCGGCCTCCACCACGAGTACTTCCTCTGGTGTTCCCTCTTCGGTTGCTGCCGCGAATACCACGGCCCCCCCGACCACCTGAAAATCACAAACCAAATTACATGACTGTTAGGTATGCAGGAGTTTGCCTGTAAGAAAATAATCAGTTACCTTGACCAAATAACAGATCAAAAAGTATGTTACAAATTAAGAGGTATATTCACTCACCATAACTGGCCCCACTAATGGGTCTAGGTCCTTGTGCAAGTCTCTTGACAGGTGCTGTGTTCCTCACAGCACTGGCACCACCGTCCATGGTGATATTCATCGGTCTACCATCAAGCTGTACTCCATTGTACTGTTTAAGGGCTTTGATGGCATCAGCATGTCGTTCAAATGATACATGAGCTGTTCCAAGAGATCTTCCAGAGCGATCATAGTGAACTGCTGCACTTCTTATAGTTCCAAATTCTGTAAACAATTCCTGTATGGGAAAGATAATTAATAGATTATGACCAATATAATAATTATCTGCACTAATATTTCAATAGCTACTAATACTGTACTTTTGCAACATTAAATCAAACGAAAAGTACATTCATCAAAGATCAGAGTAAGTTTCAAATGGATTTGGAAGTCTTTGTTTGAAATTCAATTACCGTTTAACCAAATATCAAACTACAATAGAAAATAAATATGGCCATACTTACATGGATATCTGAATCAGACACACCAAAGTCTAAATTTGAGATCAACAGCTTGGCAGGGCCTGACTGCTGAATGCGACCACCACCTCCTCCTCCTCCTCCACCACCCTGATACATGTCATGGTTCCAGCGACCCTCAACATTGCCCTGTTGAAAAAAGTTATCATTAGCAATTTAGAAAAATAATAGATATGTTACCTACAGAGTCAAAGTTCCAAACCTAGGATTTCCGGAAAACTTTCCGAACATGTCAACTAAGAGTACAGTAAAATAAGTATGTGGAATGGATACCTTGACGAAAACTAAGGCACTTTTCATCTATGGTAAAAAGTGCACAAATCTAAAATAAGGGAGATACAGGACAGAGAAGAGAGAAGCTCGACCCTTCATTTTCTAAGTCCCCTTCCATGTTTACCTCGCGAGGATCAAAACAAATGTGACGCGTAACTCATTACTGCGATCCAGCAAATAGTCCATGTATTGCTACGCGCTTGTGAGAACGTTTATTTTATCATTACTAGCGTCTGATTCTCTGAATTCATGTATATAATGCATTCTTCTAGTATTCTTATACTTCTTTTGCATCTTTTGGCAATTATTTACGTTATTCTGTACAATAACCTTTTGCGCATGCGCATTTTCACCAGGAGATTTGACAGGTCGACCCACCGCCATTCACTGAGAAACACCGGTGAAAAATGTTTCATTTCAAGTGCTGTGACGACATCGAGTTATTTTTAAAACTATATTGTGGATATACAGGACAAATAGACATTATACTCAATCACAAGCCTGATGTTTGAGCCTAACAAGTGCCCCAAATGCCAAAAAAAGTGATTAGAAACCAAGCAATTCTGATCATAGATGGAAGCGCACAAAAGTTTGGTTTTTCACTTTATAAAGGCATGTGGTATATTACTACGGGGGTCCAGGGGGCATAGCCCCCTGGCTAGGGAATGTATAGATTGTAGTGTATAAATCCCACAGGGTTAGGTTAGGCTAAGCTAGGTTAGGTTAGATTAGGCTAGGCTAGGCTAGGTTGGTTTATTGGTTAGGACGCATTGTACGATTACCATAGGGGATCTGGATTATGTGAAATCCCGTAGATTTTTACCGAACGGTGGGTTTGGTTCCCGTAGAAATTTGACGCGTCGGTCCGTAGACTTTCAAAGATGGCGGCGATGTCTGTAGAGTTTCATTATCCGATTATAAGCATTTTTTGTGCTTGTTTTACACATTTCTGCTCTCTATTTTCCTTATTTCAGCCTGTTTTACCCCGTAATTTCCCTGATCTATTTCATGCCCTCCCCTGCTATCGGGACTTATCAAAACACATCAAGATTGTCAGCTGGAGAATCCAACGGAGAATATCATCAGATTCGTTCTCATCACACGAGAACAAATTTGATGATATAAACATTGTCTGGGAAGACCCAATTGTCATTTTTGGAAAATTAACCGGGTTTCCTCCATACCTAACCTTTCCAACCTTCAATTTATTCCCTACACAGGGGGTCAAGTCCCCCTGTGCTCTCCCTTTATTAGCACTCACTAGAGACTACTCCATGTAACAAAATTAATTCTGATTGTACCCGACTGCCCAAGGGGAAACATTGTCTTCAACTTCATATGCACAGCAGGATTTAGCTGAAACACTGAGACAACAGGAGCACCGACTGGACTTGGGCTATGGCCAGCACTTTCCATAAATCTTTTTACATTATTTATGCCACTGCAATTTGTGTCTGCGATTATTTTTCATACCAACAACTACAATTGCCATCTTTAATTTGCCCTACCTTAGTGCCTAAGATTCATCACATTTGCCAACTTGCAGAAAACACAACATTAAGAACTTTAGTATCTGAGCAGTGATATGCGTGGGATATTTTCATCTTCAGTAGATATGCATTGTATATGGCACTTTTTTATGCTTTGAAAAATACATTTCCCTCTGCATTTGTACACTGCTCTCAGTAACCTTAACCATCAATATATATCTTTCTCATAACCACCACACACTTTACAGATAAATCAAAATCATTAGATGAAAGCACTAAAATTATGGAAGCTATGGAATCCAACAAACCAAATACCTCCCCAACCTGGGTTTTCCTACCAGACCCCCAACCAAATGCCAAATTTCCCTCCCTGGACAGTGTATACTATAACCCTAAAAATATCACAAAAAAACTTATAAATTCTGGGTCACGGTAAAAAAAATTAAATGTTTGCTATAGCTATATTATACTCACTTACTTGAATATAAAAGAACATAATGAATCTTCATTAAAATATTGCTTATGTTAATCACCTATACGGTAACAATGAACACCCCCCCCCCCTCCTATAAATATATGGGAATAGGATTAAAAGTTGCTCCTTAACCTCCCTACTGTGAATTCATACCAAACCCCCCAGGCAAAAAGACCAAAAGGTCTGTAATAAGCTGTATTCCCATAAACACGGAAAGACAGAATAACCAAAATATGGAAACAATCCCGATCTCTGAACTTGTCCGCACATGAACGCTAGCACCAACTAAGGGCACATTCCAACAACACTGGGTACCAAAACACAATAAACAGTCCCAATCAGCATACTCTTTCAATTCCTCACCTTACGAGAGAGAAAAGCGAAGTAAATAAAACAAGAAAAAGCGAAGCCGGGCTCCGACGTGGCTGCATGGCCTCACTCGCTTCGCGGAAACGTCCCGGCCGCCCTTCCTCTCACGGGCGAAACCCCAGCCTC